GCTGGTGATGCTGCTGACGGGATGAGAGGGTAGGACCTGGCGGGGCGGTAGGGTCGACAGCCCAATTGAACATGTATAGAGTCGTGGACGGGACGAGCGAGAGCGACGAGACGCCAGCGGCGAAGGCAAAAAGGGACGGGAAAAAACAACAAGCACAACAAGAACAGAGAAACGGGGGCAAAAAAAGAACGAGAAAACCCCAGCAGGGAGAGGGAAGAAAGAGAAAAGAAAAGGGAGAGGACGGGAAGAGGACACTTTGGGCGGGCTCTCGAGCTGCTTGAACTTGTCTGCGTGTCCTGGACGGCTGCTCGTCGGTGTTTCTTTTGGCCTGGAGGAGTTGAAACTTCGCGATGTTCTTCGTTATTTTTTTTTTTTTTTTCGTTGGCGGCAAAAAAGTGTCAAGGTAAGGTTATTATTAAAAAAAAATATGGAGTCTGGCTCTGCTTCGTCGTCTCTTCCGCTGCTTCGACTTCTGGGTTCCCCTTCTGTTTTTCTTTTTGCTTTTTCCTCCCTGTTGTCTGGCTGGCGGTTCGTCTTGCGTGGTTTTGGGGCTTCTTGCGTCTCAGGCACGGCAGGAGAAGGTCATCCAAAAGGGCACAGCAGAGGGACAGCGAGGAGCGAGAGGAGCGGGAGCAGGGCTCGAGAGGCGACGGTGATCGAGCGATGGATGCCAGTCGAGGAAAAAGACAAAATAGAAGCGTCTTCTCTGGGCTTTTCTTCCTTCTTTTTTCCCTTCTTCTTTGCTTTTTTGCGCGACGGTGTGGGCTTATTTGCTTTTGCGAACGAAGGGCCCCTGGTACTGTACGCACGGCGAGAACCGTTGAGCTTGTGGTCGGCTCGGGCTGGCTGGCTGGCTGGCTGGCTGTCTGCCTGGCGCTGGCTCTGGCTCCGGTCGTCTGCTCGAGTGGCCGATGGGTGAAGTTGACGTTGGAGGTTTGAGGTTGAGGTTGAGGTTTGAGGTTTGGCGTTGTCGATGTTGTTGTGGTCGAAGAAGTTTCGCTCTGGCGCCGCCAAAAAAAAAAAAGTCATGCTCAGCCCAAGAGACGGACGGGCGACAGTAAGCGGGAAGGTCACTGCTACGTGCTGAGCCACCGCGACACAGCAGACGGACGAGATACCAGAGCCTGAGAGCCTTTAGGGGGAAACAGACAGGCTGGCGGAAAGGAGGCTACAGGATGGGCTGGCTGGACAGCTGGAAGAGAGAGAGAGAAAGAGAGAGAGAGGCAGGAGGAAGGATGCTATGGTACATGTCCTCGTTCTGTCTAGAATGATAGGTCTATATAGGCGGTAGTATTATTACAGGCAGGCGCCAGACCTCAGCGCCGGCGAAGGTACCACGCAAAGGCAGCGCCTCCGATGGTTTCATTGAAGGGGGTTGGCACCTCTGCCCGGCCAGGGCGAGCCACGGGATGGCGCAGGTAGACGGCCGCGCAGATGTTGTGGTTGACCTCCAGGTAGCGTGGCACAAAGGCGAAGGGGCTCATGTAGTCGCGAGGCCGCCAGGGGGTAGCATACGGCTTCGTGCTGTCGATGGGGTTTTCGTGGATCTCCTCCAGAGCGAGCTTGAGGGCTTTCAGGTCCGCGGGAGAGTAGTCGGCCAGCTCGACGTCGGACAGGGACGCTGCGAGATCATCAATTCCGCTGGAGGCCTTGCTATCTCGGCTGGTTTGATTGTTGATGTCGTTGTTATTGTTGTTGTTGTTGGTGGTGGTGGTGGTGGTTGTGGTCGTAGACGTGGTATCAGCATTAGGAGTAGTTGAAGGAGAGGGCGTAGTGGGTGATGCGGAAGATGATGGCTCGGTGGCAGAGGAGGGTGATTCAGTGCTGGGAGCGGCCTGTTCTGCCTTCTTAGCAGCGGCCTTTTTTGCAGCTTCGGCTGCCCGCTTGGTATCCTCGTCTATCATGTTCTTCAGAGCGAGGAACTGGGCCTCCAGGTTGTCTGTCATGGTCGTGGTGGTAGACGACCGCGAGAGCACCTGCTTGACGGACCGCTGGAAAGCACGGATGGCCTGTCTTCTCTTGGCCGGGAGCAGGTCCCCCGACGATGTCATGATCCCCTTGGCTCCGGAAAGCAACTCCTTCAACATCTGCCGTGGGTCTTCATCCTCTTTGCCCTCCTCCTTCTTTTGCTCCTTGTCCTCGGCCTTGGTCTCCTCTGCCTTGGTTTCCTCGCCTTCCCCTTCTTTCTCCTCTTTCGACTTTGCGCCCATCCGTCGTCTGAGACGGCCGGCACGGCGTAGACTCTTGTCTTTGGGAGCTCCAGTGGCATACATCACTCGCTCAGGGTCAACCTGGAACATGTCTCCGGGGTTCAGCAGGTACCCAGGATATTGCATCTACCATCACATTTTAGCTGCCCGAAATGCACATTATTGCTTGTAAAAGGAGCCAGGAGACCAACCTTCTTGCCATTGACCGTTACGCCTCCGTGGATGACAAACTGCCTTGCCTGTCTGGTACTGCTTGCAAACATAGCACGGAATATAGCAACGTCCAATCTTCTTTCCAGCGGTGCAAATGTCATGAGCATGTATGGCGTGTCCTGGACTTGACGACCGTCTTCCTTACCCCCCTTGTCCATCCCCGAGCCACGGCCGGCAGCGTTTTTCGAACCGTCGTTGCGGGCAAGGTCAAAGGGGTCCATGGGCACAACTGCCCGGAGCCGGCGAGAGAACATGCGCTCCCATTGACTCTCCCGGACCTGCTCGCCATGGTATCCGCGGGCAAGCGACTTGGCCGACCATTTCTGCTGGAAGAAGGTCCTTGACTTTGTGAACGGGAGGCGGACTTGCGTGATGTTGAACAGGTTGTACTTGCTCCAGGACTGGCGGATTTTCTGTCGTCGCCCAGGAAGAAAGGAACGAGGGTTAGCAATCTAGCCATTGCACACCAGAGAGGGCTCACAAGGAAAGAAACAAACCGGTTTCCGGAGGTAGCTGGTCGCCTTGTTCCTCATCGTGGCATCTGTCTGTGTGTATCTTCCTGTCCGGCTCCTGGTATCCTCGTCGAACGTCGCCTGCTGCGTCGTCCTATTTTTTTTGCTTCCAATCCAGATAATCTTTTTTTCAGCGTTCCATGAGAGCCCCCGAGTCACGGTCACGGTCACGGTCACGTGTGATGTTCTCGGCAGAACTATTTTCCGCACTTACTAACAGCCTTTCAGCTCTGCTGCCTCTTAGCCAATCAGCGTCCACAGCTCAAACCTCGCTTAATCTTAGTCATCTATCACGTGCCACTATCCTCTATATAAACAGCCGCCGGGCGCCCGCCTTCTTCGAAATTTTTTTCTTCTCTTTTCTTTCTCTCTTCATACTTACCTTGTTTGGGCTGGCGCGATCAAAAAGGCGCTTCGCCGTGGAAAGGCTCCTACATTGCACAGCGTGGAGAGCCTTGCCACTCAACATCCTTCGGGGTTTTGACAGGCATATTCTTTGGCACCTCTCCTGGACTCAGGTCCTACCTTTCTTTTCATTGTCTCTGCGCTTTATGTGCTGTTGCAAAGAAGAGTTTTGGTCCTATTTAATATTGTCGATATACTCTGCTGTATGTGCTGTGTTTTGACTCATTGACCGTTTGCTGCCCGAGAACCAATCGCCATGTATCAGCTAGGACGCCTGTTCGTGCGACACCACTCTACTGCCTCTGTCTCTGCTTCCAGAGTGCCCTTAGCTTATACGCTGCACAAACCGCGAGGCAGCACTTACTATGCCGGCCGTCCGCCCATCGTCTTCATGCATGGCCTTTTTGGGAGCAGGAAAAACAACAGAAGCATGAGCAAGTCGGTTCCTCCCTTTTTACCAGAGCTTGTTCCCCCGAATGCCACTGCTGACAAGCCTGTAGGGTGCTGGCCGCTGATCTGGGGACGCCAGTCTACGCTGTCGTATGTTATCGATCTTGACCTCCTTTTTAACGAGCCATTGAGCGCCCTTTACTCTGACCATAAGAAGGATCTCCGTAACCATGGAGACTCCCTCCATCATCCAAAGCATGACTACACCGAGCTCGCCCTTGACGTGGAGTACTTCATTCACCAGCACAGCCTGCAGGATCCCATTCTCATCGGCCACTCCATGTATGCTCTAATCAGCATTACTATCTCTCAAAAAGCAGAGTTAACTGAATTTACAATTACTTAGGGGTGCCAAAACAGCCTTGACGCTTGCTCTACGCTCTCCTTCTTTAGTGTCGAGTGTCATTGCTATAGATAACGGGCCCATCCGTTTGCCCCTAACCGACGACTTTCCACGGTACATCAGGGGCATGAGACATATCCAGTCCCAGGCTGCTCCAGTCTCCTCCTTGTCCGAGGCCGATGCGCTCCTCTCACAATTTGAACCAGACCCTGCCATCCGTCTCTTTCTTCTCACTAATCTAACAAGGAAATCAGGCAAGGACCATTTGCACTTCCGCGTACCACTAGACATACTCTCGTCATCGTTGGATGCTCTCGGGGATTTCCCGTATACTGACCCTCGGAAAACCCGGTTTGAGAAGCCAGCCTTGATCGTCAGGGCAACAAGGAGCCATTACCTGCCGGATCACTCCAAGGAGCTTATGCAAACGTTCTTCCCGAACTTAAAAATGGTAGACTTCGATTGTGGGCACTGGGTCATCACTGAGAAGCCACATGAATTTAGACAGAGTAGGTTTTTGATATTTTCCATGGTGCCCTCAAGAGCTTCAAGAGCTTGATACTAACGAACGTGGTGGTCCCTTTTCAGCTGCCGTCGACTTCTTACGAGACACTGTATTGTCTACATCCTAACTGATGTATATTGAGATTGGAGATTTGTTGTACATTAACCATAGAATATATACATACGTTATCTTGCGTCAAAGGGCCACAGCCTATCAGCTTTCTCAGGCGTCATCCCTTCCGCCTCTCCCAATTCCTTTGCAGACTCCATCCACTCTGCATACGCTGCCCTGTTCGCCTCTTGAGCAGCATCCCATATCTCATTCGGCACCCAGCCATCAGATCCCGAGTTCAGCTGCATCGTAAGCCACGTTTTCAGTTTCTGCCTCGTTTCAAAGTCTTCATACTGTTTTGCATGTCTGTGCAGTTCTTCCTCGTCTGGATCATATGGACAGCTTCCAGGCAGCACCAATTCTGACCATAAGGACCGCAAGTCCAGAAGCTCTTGTCTAATGGCGGGTGCACCATCTCTCCAGGTGGTAAAACAATAGTGAAATAGGCGGAAGAAGGTTGGGTCGAGCCGCGTTGCTGCTCGCATCTTGGGTATCTTGCCCTTCATGATAACGTCATACGTTTGGTGGCATATAGAAAGATCCTTTTGGAGCCGTCTCTCATCTTCTGATTGTGCTTTCTCGGACTCGTCTGCTTCGGCTGGGTCCTGGTCGGCGAGCGAGGCAAAATCAGGGGTTCCGTGAACATAGATGAATGCCGGTTCAATCGATGCCAGTTGCCAGTCAATCAATCCCGTAACTTTGGTTGGATCGTCAGGAGAAACGTATATATTCCTCTTGTGGTAGTCTGGATGTATCAGGGCTGGCGTCGCTGCTGTCTGTACCCGCCCATCCTCGATTAATATGTTCATAGACTTTCGACACGCATCTATCAGGTCAGAATGTTCCTGGACAGCTCCACGGAATGGGAGTCGGTCATCGGCTGGTTGTTCTTTGGGTAGACGCGACAGAGCAGTATCTATTAGCCCGGCTGAATACTCCTTGAGATCGATCCCTATGAAATCAATTGGTTAACTTCCTGGAATAGCAGAATCAAAGAGAAGTCAACCATACATGGACCCCGGTTAGCATTCAATCCTTTGTAAATATCGCTTTCTCCAGCACCACAGTTCCAAAAGAGGGGACTACAATATGGTCCTATACAAAAACCATTGTCGAATGGTATCTTTAGCTTTCCTTCAATAGGTGCATCAGCGAAGTATAAGCTTCCATATGCCGGAAAATCAAGAGATGCCATCTCTCTAATCTGCAGCGAGAGCTCCTTGGTACACTGCATGTGCTGCACCATATCCATTTCAGGCCAGTGTTCATGCAGATTAACACCATCAGCGTGCTCTTGAATGATATATTCAATTCCAACCGGGTTAGATGGGTCATCACTCCAAAGCAGTATCTCTGGTATAGGAAGGGGAGTTTTTGATCGTACTTTCAACAACAGTTAGAAGTAATTGCTAATAATTCGCCATCTCAACTTACAGTATGCCACGGTTGCGACCTCCGAGTTTGTTGTAAGCCTTGGGGGCCCTGCAACAGGCGTTGGGACCTTAGCAACAACTTTCTTGCCATTGTCCAAGGTAAAAATAAAGACTCGATTATATCCCCCCTCTTTCTTCTCGTACGAATCAACTTTAGATGCTCCATGGTATATTTTCGCAACAGTGTCGCATAGAAGGGAGAAGTTGAATTTTAATGAACGTGATTGGCGCTGTAGCTCATCTTGATTCAACCACCGCCCGGTTGTGTACACAAATGGATACGACGCTTCAATGGGAACTCGTTAGTGATTTCATAGTTTAAAATCCAGTGCGTTGATGGGAGTTAAACCGGAGGATGGATCTAAATGCTCCATTGAGTTACTAGAGACTGGCCTTGACTGTTGCTCCCGAACGCTGGAGCTGGTCAACGGGCGACAAATCTTGTTAGGCAAAACAGTGCATGGTAGGCATGGGTGAGTGTATCGCGGTTTTGAATTAATAAGGGATGCTAGGCGGCTTGCCCTACAGCTTGCTCTCAACAGCATCTTGTCGACGCAACTTCATCAAGGAACATAACTATCTTCCAAGGTTCTCATCAAGCTAAGTGGAGAATAAAAACTAAGCCCCAGGTTACCCAGGTGGAAATATGGCCAACTTCAAATAAGCTAACTAACATATGGAGGGTGGGCTATCGCGGCTAATAAGGTTGACTAATATGGAAGTGTCCCTGTGGGCAAGAAAGGGGCTTCCGAAGGAGGGCCGCGCGGCTATTTACTTCTACAAAACTCAGTTACATTAACTAAGCTACTCTCTTATGGACAATGACCCAGCCAGTGCCTGATAGTCACCACAGATGGAATAAGATTTACCGGCGGATTATGACCCCGCCAACATTAAAGAATGAAGCGGCTAGAGTAGTTAGGGATTTGTTGTAAGTAGACCATGAATTATTCACAATTGAATTATTAAACCCGAACATAATATATCTTTATTATAACAAACGAGTCCAAGCCTCGTTATGGATTCAGGAGGATTGCATAGAAACGTGCCACCTGTCATTAGGGAGTAAGCATGAGCATAAAAGTTCCCCAGAACGATCGTCCCACATAAAATATTCTATCCACACTTAATCATTCCCGGGACTTTGCCCAGAATTTCCACCAGCTTCCAAGCTGGAGCTTTCCATCTCGTTGGTGTATTCGCCAATAATATACAGGAACTCCAACAATCCAAAAGCCAACAACTGTAAGTGCTTGCAATGGTTCAACAAACACGGCTCGACTGAGCAGAAACAAACTCACGCAGCAGAAAATTATCGGCGTCGATATCCACGTTTTATAAGGCCGCTCTAACCGAGGCTCACGAATTCGAAGCATAATAAGCCCCAAGACCGTGAGAAAATAAAAGGAATAACCAGCTACTCCGTAAAAAGTGACAAGGGTCTTGAATTCACCAACAAGGATATAGCACATGCAAAGTACCATATTAAAGGTCATTGCATATATTGGGGTATATCCGATACCAATGTCATCGCCGAACATTCGCGCAATTGTCTTTTTGATAAAGGAACGACGTTGTAAGCGCCCTGTCATAGGATTTGACGATTCGCTAAGCCCAACCCTGCAAAATATAGATGGAAAGTAACCCTCTTTACCAGCTGCATATATCAATCTACCACTTGTAAAAACTGAGGCATTCAGAGCCCCAATACAGCTTCCAGATACAACAAGGGCAAGGGCAGCGGCTCCAATGGGGCCGAACACTTTTGCTCCAAAATGCACGGCAATGGTATTGGTACCGGAGATTGTGGATGCCGGTAGAACCAGAACGTAGGAGATATTTGCAAGTACGTAGCATATTATCATAAGTGGCATGGCGGTGTGAATTACACGGGGCAGATCGCGACCCGCGTTTTTGAATTCCCCAGTTACATAGTTTGTCTAGCATTTCGTTAGCTTTAAATCGATGCAACAAAGGAAGTTGTGGTACGACGTACATTCTCCCATCCATCAAAAGCCCATAGACCAGAGTACAAGGCCACAGCCCAGCTGGATATACTTGTACTGGTACCATCAAACCAATTTTTCGTCTTCCATTCCTTGTTAGGGTTTCCATCATAAGACAAGCCTGTGACCGCAGCAACAATGCCAATAATAGTAACCGCAAGTAGTGCAATAAATTTGAAGAACATGAAGAGGTTTCCGACGCGGGTGCCCACTTTCGTCGATATGCAATTCAGCAGAGTAACGGCGATAATGCCAGCCAACGCGACAGCTTTGGAGATCCAGGGATTAACGGACTCGACCTTTGTGCCAACTATCGCTTCAACAATATATTCACCGAATATAATCGATATTATAGCGTTGGACCCTGGCTTCAGAACGAAAACCGCAGTCCAGGTAAAAAGAAAGCCGGCCAGCTCGCCAAATATCTTTGAAAGATAGACCTGTGCACCACCGTTAAGTGGAATAGCTCCGCCCAGTTCAGCATAGCTTGCAGCTCCTGTCCAGGCAAGCAAGCCAGCAACAACCCATACAATGAGTGAAGCACCTGGAGAACCAGCATTGCTGTTGACCTGGCCAGGCGACGAAAAGATGCCAGATCCGATTATTAACCCGATAATCAGAGACAGACCATTTAGGTTTGTCAATGTCTTGTGCCTCTCTAGTGACCCATCCCTTATACCACCATCATGTTCCAGGGATACTGCTGAAGGTGCACCTAGCGGCGCATACCCTCCGACTGTCTGAGAAAGGGGGAAAAGAGTGGTGCCGAAATCGAAAGCAGAAGAGACACAATATGATCGGCCGTGGCCAGGGCGTGTGGGTTCGTATAGTTCACCTTCTATAGGATCCTCATTCTCTAGTGAAGCGCGACGTGATGAGCCAACCCCGGATTCCGATGAGGATTGTGCTAGGTCGTCCTCCGATGAGGCGAGTGATGCCAACTCAAGAGAGTCTCTCATTGTATTTATTCAACGACCCATATAAAGAGGGAATAGAAAGCGATTTCGCGTAGGGATTGTAAAAGAAAAGACCGCAATGGATGCCGCGGATTTTCTAGGAGTAAAGGGGGTGTGGAGAGCTTGCGGCCATAGTTAGGATGGAAGTAACTGGAGTGGAAGACGCTGCTATGCTGGCTTGCTAGACGATGCGAAAACTGCGTTAATTCATCAACTTAGCCGACAAGGAAAGGGGATAATGTCTCGCGTCGAAAAACTGGATGTTGAAAAGGGGATGCAGGCTTTAGCAAACAAACCTGGAGTTGAAGATCTGATCAAGCAGATTTCCCCTTCCAGCGATCGATAGATTGAAGTCCTTATCGAACTTTGGACCAATCATATACCAGATGATATCATGACTAAGCGTTTTTAATTTCAAGGCACGTGACTCGTCTTTTTGGCCGGGAAGACCGCGGCAAAAAGGAGCCAGTCTGGAGAAACGAGATGTTGAAACGAAATAATATCAAGGAGTCTGTTATTCATTTTGTATAGCTATTGTTATTCTTTTCATGTTTCCTCGGCCCGTTCGTTTGTGTCGGCTCTCGTCTATCCCGCGACAATGTAATGTCAACTCCCAATTCCTGTCGGCGAATCGTCATCAACATTCCCGAAACTCATCTACAACATCCCAACGGCCATCGAAGGGCCCGTCAGGCAAGCTATGGTTGACTGCTGCTGCTGTAGCTATTGCAGCTGGTGGAGCTGGTATATACACTCGTTCCCAAGGAGATACATCTAGTACCACCCTGGACCCGGTTACGTTCACGAATTACGAACTTATTTCAAAGACTCCGGTGTCGTCAACCTGCAGCATCTTTAACCTGCGGCCGAAAAGGGAGGGAGGAATAAATGCAGAAGTCTACCAGGATGCTTTTGAAACTGGAATTTGGAGTGTACAATTCAAACAGCCTCAGCTGCAGGTTGGCCGAGACTACACCCCTTTACCTCCTTCAATGCAGTTTTCCTCCCTAGATAAAGGAAACGACACGTCCCTTCAGTTCCTTATCCGAAAAGACGGCGAGGTATCCAGCTACTTACATGACCTTCAACCTGGCAGTATTGTGGAGATGCGCGGGCCCCAGCTAGGACTCGAGCTGACCCCGGATGTCCAAGAGATCCTTTTCATTGTGGGAGGGACGGGAATAGCCCCAGCTCTACAAGCCACTCACACGATCCTTAAATGCATGCGGCCAAGGGATGAAACAAGAATACATATCTTATGGGCAAACCGACGGAGAGAGGATTGTCTCGGGGGCCGTAGTGATACTGTCGGCTCTCAGTGGAGTTGGTGGTCAAAACTGTACCCTACGACCAAGGCAGTAGACCCGGGAGAAAATATAGAAGAACGGAGGAATTACGTTGTTGAGCAGCTGGACGAACTCAAACGTCTCTACCCCAAGAAATTCACTGTTGACTACTTTGTCGATGAAGAGAAATCACTTATCGGGAAAGATTCTATTATGAAATATATAAACTCAAGGGCACAGCATCCGCTTGTGGGTCCAAGGAAGAAGAAACTGATCATTATATCAGGGCCTGATGGGTTTGTCAGCTACCTTGCTGGACCCAAGATGTGGCATAATGGACGGGAGGTCCAAGGGCCGCTGCGAGGTATTTTGAAAGAGTTAAATATCTCCGGCTGGTCAGTATGGAAGCTCTGAAAAGTGCCTTATACAACACTTACAGATACTCCCGTCAATCTTTGGACCAGATGTTCAGCTAGCTATTTGTTAGTGGACCACTATGCGCTGGCAAAGTCGTTCAGATATTGAACCAACTTTTCCACATTTTCAAGTGAAACGGCGTTGTAATTGCTAGCTCGCATACCGCCGACGCTTCTGTGGCCCTTTAGCCCTTGGAGTAGGCGTTTCTCAGCGCCAGCAATGAATTCTTTCTCCTTCTCGAGGTCACCTCCATGGACCCTGAAGCAAACATTCATTCTGCTGCGAACACTTTTGTCTGGAACGACCTGATACACCTGAGGATACTTGTCGAGTGCACCATATAGAAGAGCCGTCTTCTTGTTTACGATATCTTCCTGGCCACTCACTCGGGCTTCGCCGTGAGTCTGGACAAGGCCGGCAATAACTTGACCAGCAATCCAGAGGGTGAATATCGGAAGCGTGTTGTATAGAGAGTTATTTTTGGCGGTTATCGCATAGTCAAAAACGATCGGTCCCGGTAGGCCACCGATATTAAGCTGACGGAGCAAAGCCGGCGAAGGCGTGGCTGTATGAGGGGGTAGAAGGTCCTTTCGGACAATGACCAACGCAATACCCGTTACACCAACGTTTTTCTGAGCTCCTCCCTATAGACGGATAGTTGTATGTTAGCATCGGTGCAGGCCTTTTTGTATTTTTTTAGACAATAGAGAGGATAAATGGTCACTTACAAATATGACAGCATATTTCTTGACATCTATCTTCCGGCTGAGGAAGTTAGAGCTCATGTCAGCCACAACCAGACGTTCGTCTTCCTCACTCACACCCGGCGGATTCTCTAGCGATTTTGGGAAAGCTGGGAATTCAACTCCGTCCACTGTCTCGTTATCACAGAAGTAGACGAATGCAGGCGCACTTTTTCCTCCCTCTGCCTTCGTCTTGGTAAGCTTCCATTCCTCTTCGACGGGTATTTTTCCAAATTTCCCTCCATTCGCTTCTTTAGCATCAACAGCAACATTGACGAATTTCTCCCCGACCAGCCTCTTTCCCTCCTGTGCCGCCTTTGAGGACCACGATCCGGTGACAATATAGTCCAATTTTAGTTCTTCGTCGACCTGCTTCTTCAATTCAGCAACAACCTTGGCCTCATCGTCGCCGAACCGAGTCGCAAGCTTGCGTCTTCTTCTCTCAACCCAGACGCTGACCAGATTTTGAACAATTGCGCTGAACTCGCCTGTTCCGCCACCTTGGAGGAACAGTATCTCGTAGTTCTCTGGTATTTCGAGCAGGGTAGTTAGGTTCGCTTTGGTATCTGCGAGGATTTGGTTGGCGGCGGGAGATCGGTGGGAGATTTCTCCTAGGCCCAGCCCACTCTCATTATAGTTGACGAAGGCTTTTGCACCAGCTTCGACAACCGCAGTGGGTAGAGGAGCAGGGCCGGCACCAAAGTAGGCGATTTCTGATCGAGAAGGCATTTCAGAGGCGTTTGTTTGCTGTTGCAAGTTGGTAGTTGGAAATGATGACTCAAAGAGGGCTTTTAAATGCAAGGTGGGATGGTGCAATTCTAAACCCAACATCCATCATTGGTTATCTAGCGGGGCTTCTTATACCTCTCTATTTATGCGATTCACGGTCGATAGTGACCAGATAATGATTGGCCATACGGCCGTTGGGCCTTGGTAGTCGGACAAGAGTCTATCGCCATGCTCCTCTCCTGCTACTGCTTCATCATTTATCCAGTTCCTCCAAGGTCCTTTTTTTCATGTGCAAGCGGCCGGCCGCTCCTTGCAAATTAATGACTCTTATCAGCTAGTTATAGACGGTGAATATCTACGCTCATTCACCAATAGAAACCGTGAACTGTGTCTTTTAAAGTAAAAAAAGAGTCCTTGCAATTACTTGATGCTCAAAACAATCTCCCATTTCGTGCGCTCATTTGAGCAGCTCCAGCCCTGCATCGAAGCAACCAGGATGTTGCGCAGGGATCTCGCTATTTCTCCGATTTGACAATTGTCCCACTGCTAGGGCTGTGGCCAGTTCTGCATCTGGTAGAGAGTTACTATATTCGCCATACGGCCTCACAATGCGAAGAAACAGAGAAATAGAGAAAGATCAAGCCGTGAAGTCGCTTTTTCCCTCCTCGAGGCACTTAACTAATGTCAAAATGCCGAAAAATCCGGCTGATTACATAACGCCGAGTTCGGCTGAAAGAATTGCCGTAAAAAGCTTGTTTGCCGAGTTTGCATCCTTTGAGCCTCAGATTTCAATTTGCTGCTTTTTCATTCGATAAGAAAACCTGCAGGAGACAGCGAGAAAAGAAAGACAGTTGAGAGCGAGGGAGCAAGCAGGACAGCTGGAGAGGGGTCTCGGACGGAAAAGTTCTGATTCAACGAAGAGACTGCTACGTGATGGCTGGTGTGGTATCGCGAAGAGCCATGGCGAACGCCAGGAGGGCGTTTGCGTTTCCGAGTGCGAGAGCGCAGAGTCATCGGCTGCAGTGCTTTGCAAGGCCATTATTAGCGCACAAGCAATTCTCTGTATCGGCCAGGCTCTCATCGGCTGATGTATTCCATTCGCAACTTCAAGACCCTTCCTACGCCGCAATCCACTCCGCGATCAAATCGAATACCCTCGTTCCCCAAACCCTGACCGAGAAGATTGTTCAGAAATATTCTGTTGGCCTAGCAGAGGGCAAGTTTGTCCGATCAGGGGACTATGTTACCATATCGCCGCACCGGATAATGACACACGATAACAGCTGGCCTGTTGCGTTGAAATTCATGTCCATTGGAGCGTCCAAGCTGAAAGACTCGAACCAGATTGTTATGACCCTGGACCACGATGTGCAAAACAAATCAGAAAAGAACCTACAGAAATACGAGCAAATTGAGCAGTTTGCAAAAAAACATGGCGTTGATTTCTACCCTGCTGGAAGAGGCATTGGGCATCAAATCATGGTCGAGGAGGGTTATGCTTGGCCAGGGACCTTGGTGGTAGCTTCTGACAGCCATTCGAATATGTACGGAGGAGTAGGATGCCTAGGGACACCAGTGGTAAGGACTGATGCAGCCAGTATCTGGGCCACTGGAAAGACCTGGTGGCAGGTGCCTCCGGTTGCGAGGGTGAACTTTACTGGAGTCTTGCCCAAAGGGGTTACTGGAAAGGATGTCATAGTGGCACTCTGCGGATTGTTTAACAATGACGAAGTTCTTAATCACGCCATTGAGTTTACTGGGTCGGAAGAGACAATGCGCAGCTTGGAAATCGATGATAGACTGACGATAGCGAACATGACTACGGAATTCGGAGCTCTTAGCGGTAAGATTCCTCCTTTCTACGTGTTAAATTGACGTAACTGGATATAAAACTAATTCTACGTAGGTCTATTTCCCGTGGACTCTATGCTAAAGGGATGGTTACGAGCAAAGGCGACTACTGCAGCCATGTGGGGGTCAACTGTTCCGGATCTTCCTAGCACAGCCGCCACTAGATTTAACCATGAACTCCTAGAAGAGATGTTCGAGCAGCCTTTAGTCGCGGATAAGGGGGCTAAGTATGCCAAGCAGCTCCATCTCGATCTATCCACCCTTACCCCGTATGTCTCAGGGCCCAACTCCGTCAAGGTAGCAACACCCTTGGATGAACTCGAGGCTCAAAATATCAAAGTCGACAAAGCATATCTGGTATCTTGCACAAACTCGAGAGCTTCGGATATTGCTGCTGCTGCGAAGGTTTTCAAGGAAGTAGCGGAGAAGAACGACGGTAAAGTTCCAAAGATTGCGGATGGTGTTAAATTTTACATTGCAGCTGCGTCAATTCCAGAACAACGCGCGGCGGAAGAAGCGGGTGACTGGCAGACTCTTCTCGAGGCCGGTGCAGAACCCTTGCCTGCTGGTTGTGGACCATGCATTGGCCTTGGAACCGGCTTGTTGGAGCCCGGGGAAGTTGGTATTAGTGCATCAAACCGTAACTTTAAGGGCCGAATGGGTAGCACAGAAGCAAAAGCCTACCTTGGTAGCCCTGAGGTCGTTGCTGCTAGTGCCCTGAATGGGAAGTTAAGTGGACCAGGATGGTACGAAAAACCCGAAGGCTGGAACGGAGTTGTCCGTGGAGAAGGCGAGGGTATCAAGGACGACGACCTCTTGACAGCCGAACAGGCTCTTGAAAAGGTAATTGGACAGCTAGATACCATGCTTCTTGATGCCGAAAAGGCGTTTGGCGCTGAAGAACCACAAGCACAGCCGGAAGAAACCTCCACCGGCCTGACCGAGGTATACCCAGGTTTTCCTGAACGTGTCTCAGGGGAAATCATCTTCTGTGATAGTGACAACATCAACACAGATGGCATTTACCCTGGAAAATACACATACCAAGACAACGTCACGGTTGAGCAGATGGGCGAGTACTGCATGTCCAACTACGATACCGAGTTCTCTAAGGTATCAAAACCTGGAGATATCCTCGTGACTGGTTACAACTTTGGTTGTGGAAGCTCCCGCGAGCAAGCTGCCACTGCTATTCTCGCCCGTAACATCCCGCTTGTGGTTGCAGGCAGCTTCGGCAATATTTTCTCCAGGAATAGCATCAACAATGCCCTCATGGGATTAGAAGTCCCTCGCCTCGTCAGCAGGCTGCGTGAGACGTTTGCGGGACAAGGCAAGCAGGCAACTCGACGAACCGGCTGGACTTTGACCTGGGACGTACGACGAAGCCAAATTGAAGTTCAAGAAGGCCCTGATGGCCAGAAATGGACACAGAAGGTTGGGGAGCTGCCTCCGAACGTACAAGAGATCATTGCCCTTGGAGGCTTGGAGAAATGGGTGAAAAATTCCATTTCTGCCTCCTCTTAGGGCGTACTTCGTACAAATTTTTCATTTTCTTTGATGTATACTATGATATAGTTCCCTCCCTTTTGTTTCTCTTTGGATATAGAAAAACGGATGTAAGCACTTACATTGGCGCTTGTCATTTGAATTTTAGATCCTTTCGATTATACGGTTAGATACTTGAATGATATTAATTCGCTTCCTACACAACTATTATACTTATTACTACCATTTTCGTAGGAAAATGAATCACTCCATATATGCACAGTATATATCCAAGACAGTATGGAAGAAGTTAGCTTCGTTAAGGGGGAAAGAAAAGAAAAAAAAAAAATTTTTTTTCTAGCATGTCTTGGTTTCGATCCAAGGTCCTCCGGGTTATGAGCCCGGCGCGCTTCCGCTGCGCCAACATGCTTGACTTGATGTAGTGGGACAAGCCTTCGTGCTAGTTAAGCCTTATTGACAAGGTTTGCCTTGTTCTGGAATAGTGTGGCCCACTCTCGCGCTTCGGCTAGGATGATCCTCGAGTTGTATATAAAAGCTGCGATGAAGAGGAGGCCTAAACCAGGCGGAGATGCTTGTGTAAGACGCTATGCACATTAATATCCCCTACTTATGCTGGAATAATAATGATTATTTTCGGTCTGTTATTTTACTCTCTCCATTTCACAAAGACTTCGTCTGTCCTAAATCTTTGCGTACATGTGGACTCTTCCAACGGTGTATGGAAGCCTGTCTTGTAGGCCAGGAGCCCAGCCTGCGCTATCATGATCCCATTGTCAATGCAGAATCGCTCATCGGTAGCATAAACGCTTCCGCCTCTATCTCGGGCCATGATTCCCATCATCTCTTGAAGACGCTCGTTGCAACCGACACCACCCACTATTAGTACCTCCTTGGAGCCTACATGCGCCATAGCACGCTCCGTGATTTCCACCAGCATAGCAAACACTGTCTCTTGAAGAGAAAAACACAAATCTGCGCGAGTAACTACTCCGTCATCATCTTTGAGAGAGTCGATAGTTTCGACTTTCGCATGTCGAGCCACTTCAGCTGCATCCTTCTTCGCTTGCTCCTCGCCGCCCAGCCCGTACGAGGCAGCCAAGGCGTCCACTGTGGCCAATATACCCGAGAAAGAGCAGTCCATTCCTTTGACAGCATAGGGAATTTCAACGAGCTTTTTTCCTTTCTTGGCCAGCTGTTCAATGTTATAACCTGGGGCGGGGTCGTTGGAAATGTGTAACGTTCGAGCGAAGCGATCAAGACAATTTCCTACGGCTATGTCTAAAGTTTCGCCAAATATTCTATAACGTTGCGAACTATAAGCAATCACTTGGGTATTTCCTCCGGAGACGTATAAAACAATAGGATTTGTCGCGCCAGTTATGTAGCGACCCATTTCAATATCTGCAATCGAACGTTAGCACCCGTTGTCCTTGCCGAATGCCGAGGAAAGTGAAGGAAAGAAGGGAGCAAAAGGGCAAGTAATACGTACGGCCGACACAATGATTAACGCCTACAAGCTCCTTCCCCCACAGTAAACTTAACATCCTCGCGGCCAGTGCAACGCATTGTAGAGGAGCACCCATCCCCGGGCCTTTAGTATAGCATATGCAATCGACGTCGGCCACGCCAATTTTAGCATCTATCAGGGCTTTTTTAACCAGGCTTACAATCCACTGGCGATGATGTCTAGCAGTATCCTTTGGTAAAAACCCTTCGCCTGGCGGGGATACATATGTATGCCGAACATTGGAGAGTACCTGGGGAGTGCTACCATCATCTGGGTGAAGTATAACCCCGACACCCAGCTTGTTTGCCGAGCCTTCTAGGCCGATGGCAATCATAGTAGCTTCGCTTTTGTCTCTTCCTTGTTGGACTGTGATCAGATATTGCAGTCCCTTTCAAAGCGCACACCTTTCTAGATAGCGCCTTGATGAAGTGACAGAACATAGGTTATGTAGGCTTTTTACACGCGCAAAACGAGGAAATCGAACTTATCGATAGGCTGGATCCACGTGATCGATATAAGGTTTATTAGTAATAAGTAGAACGGCACCCGATGGGGGGAAGTTTATCCGGAAGTTTATCCGGCAAGCACAGACCCGACATATTGTTCACACACCCACCATCTTCCTGGACGACAAACAGACTGACATCCGGGCCTGTGTTGAGACACTGTCTACTTCTTAGGATAAAGGAGCAAGGTGGTGAAGTCATTGTTTTGTTCTTGTCTGTTTCTACCTTGTCAGTCTGCTCTTTTGCAGCATGTCTAGCCCGATGGACCTGTCAGGCAATGACCAGTTCAACCAGCTGTCAGATGACTTCTTGCTCTGGCTGAAGCGGAGCAGCCCTCATTTCAAAATGCATCCTGGTATACATATCGCTGATTTGAGATCTACCGGGGCTGGGAGAGGTATCTGTAAGTGATCTAATCCACATTGTTTGCAGGTAATTCCACACAAGGCCAGAAGACCCGTTTGTTTTGCTGACGTCTGACAACTAGGCGCCTCGCGAGACATAGCCGAAGATGAGGAACTCTTTGTTATTCCCGATGACTTGATCCTTAGCGTACAAAACTCAGAGGCAAGGAGCGTCCTGGGACTGGATGACAAGCAGCTCGGGCCTTGGCTTTCGTTAATCATAACCATGATCTACGAGTACTACCAAGGCGAACAATCGAAGTGGTATTCTTACTTCCGTATCCTTCCCTCGAGTTTCGACACGTTGATGTTCTGGACAGATGAGCAACTATCAGAACTCCAAGGCAGTTCTGTGGTTGGAAAGATTGGCAAGGCTGCGGCAGATGACACCATCTTGCAAAAGGTGGTTCCTCTGATACAGGCCAACTCTCGCCATTTCCCTCCCAGACCTAATATGCCTCCACTCAACTCACCTGATAGTCAGAATGCCTTACTTTGCCTTGCCCATCGTATGGGTAGCATAATCATGGCATATGCCTTTGATATAGAGAAGACCGACGAGGCAGACGAGCACACGGCGGACGATGGCTATATGACTGATGATGAGGATGAGCCAGCCAAAGGCATGGTTCCTCTAGCAGATATATTCAATGCAGATGCACAGAGGAACAATGTAAGGCCGAGGATCTTCAATCATCCACACCTGTTCTAGACTAATCTTATTCCCTTGTTAAATTATAGGCACGTCTTTTCCAGGAGGAAGGTTCATTTGTGATGAAGGCTATCAAGAATATATACTCAGGGGAGGAGATCTTCAATGATTATGGTGAACTGCCAAGGGCGGATCTTCTTCGACGATACGGTTATGTCACCGATAATTACGCCCAATACGACGTCGTTGAATTTTCGTTGGATGCTATCTGTAAAGTTGCTGGTTTACCTGATAGCGAGCCTAGCCCTTCTAACCCCCGGGTAGGTGGATAAGACCAGATATTATCTCCATGGCATGCTGACTTTTTTCATAGCTTGAGCTCCTTGACAACCTCGACATGCTTGAGGAGGGATACAATATATCCAGGATCCCACGGAATGGAACCTTAGAGGACGCAATACCAGAGGATTTCCTTGTTCTGCTTCGGGCCTTAACCCTGCCTATAGAGGATTTGAATCGACTCGGAGCAAGAAACAAGGCCCCTAAGCCCGAATTTTCAGCTTCAGAAGCATCCCTGTTACGGTCTTTGGTGACTCTTCGCCAAAGCGAATACCCAACGTCCGTCCAGGAAGATGAAAGTATACTTAACTGTCTTGAGCAACAAAACGGATATATCAATGACTCAGGTCTTAACCGCAAGAAAATGGCAGTACAGGTAAGGAAGGGAGAAAAGGAAATTCTCACTCAAATTTTGAGCTTACTAGATACCCACTTGGTGCAGTCCAACCAGAACGGATCAACGAAGCGCCCAATGACGGACGATGAGAAGAACTCCAAGAGACAACGACAACTTTGAGCGAACTACATCACTATACACAGTTTCAGAATTGAAATCCAAAGGATAAAGTTTTCGAATTTTCTTTTGGTCCTTGGTTCATTGGTTTTTTCGCTGATATAATAGCTCGCCTCCCAGAAGATTCTTATATGTACACAACGAATAAAGAGCATGACGTCCAGTTCAGCCTGGCCTGTTGCGAAGCTCTTAAACTGAAGAGGTAGTGTCATGGTGGGGAAACAGAAGTGCCTGTGTATAAATCATGGAGCGTGGAGGAGTGGATGCAGCATATAAGATGCTGAGGTGACAAGAAGGGGTGATTAAGGTGAGTGGGCAATTAACACACAGTCTGTTAAGCTTTCTGTGCTATATTTGATGAGTTGGGATTGACATTATTATGACCGGGCGTAGGAGGTGCACCAGGCAACCGCCGACCATTGGGAACTTGCTGACTGTGGGCCTGTTGTTGGGCTTGTAGCTGAGCCTGGGTTATGGCTTGGTCCCTCGCCTTGGCCGACAGATAGGCGCGATGTTGCATGATTTGGATATCGAACTCGTCTTTCTCATAAACGATATCCATGTCATCATCGTCACGATCATACTTGAACCGGTCGAGCTTAATAGGATCCACGCCATCCTTATTACGGAGTGCAAGGTTTCGGCGGTCGATGAGAACACGACCACCACGGCCTACACGCCGGCGGAACGATGGCGTGGGCCTACACGAATCATCTTCCGACGGACTAGGCTGCCGAAGCGCTGACCACTGAGTTTCCAGCGATGGGCCACTGTGAATGTCCCGCATGCGTTCAGAAGTCTCAGAAGTAGGGGGTGTGGGTAAGTACTCATGCGTTATTGCCGGCCTGAACTCAGCCTCGAATCCTTGTGGTGTGGTTGGGGTAAGTGGTGCCCGAGTGATGTCTACATAACCCTCGTTCCATTTGGCATGTTTTGCAACGTTCTGCTTGATTTCTCGCAGAATATCGTTTTCCTTATCTGCTTGAACATCTTCAAGCAATTGCAGATCTTCGCCAAGCTGGCCAGTGCTGCGTGAAGGCACACGCAACTGCGGAACATTTGGCCGCTGGATAACAGGAACTTCTGTGGGTTTCTT